TACAAAATTTGGAATTGAGAGACTGTATAGATCTGGAATCGCGATATTAAGGTCTCTCTTGGTATCTGGCGTTGCGTTCTGGTGGTGATTTCGCAAATGTGTTCTATAATTGTTCGAAAAGTATTAAATGGTACACATTTTGGATCACAATTCTAGGATAAAGATATGTAAATTGTTTTGGAAATGCGTACTAATGTTACTGTTAATTTTGGTATTGGGAAAAGGGATATTGTTTTAGACAGAAAAATTGGAGGTGAGTCCATATTGGAATGGGTTTACTAATATCCTCCTCGGTAAACTTTTTAAGAATTTTCTGTGTCAAAGGTAAACATTTTCCTAAAATGTTTTCTTCTGGTTTTTTCGTTTGGCTCGAGGTCAGAATTTAAAAAAAACAGACGAATTTGTTTTTTTATATATTAATTTATTTGTCCGATATTTCGACTATCTTCGATAGTCATCATCAGGGATTTGAATTGGATTTTAACACTTCTGTTTTTAAGTTCTCTGATGCAGCTTTTCCATCCTTTCCTGCATCAGAGAACTTAAAAACAGAAGAGTTAAAATCCAATTCAAATCCCTGATGATGACTATCGAAGAAATTAGCATGGGGCTAGAGCTTCGGGCTGAGTAGAAGCCTTCCAATTTTGATCATCCAATTTTTGGTCATCGGGTAATATTTAGTGGGTGGAAAAGACTGTAACATTTGTGTTAAATAAAAGTCAAGTTTCCATTAAACCGCGAATATTTTTAATCCCGGCGAAATCAATAGACGAAATAGATGAACAGGTCAATTCTGACAGTTACGTAGATGTCGAATGTAAATATATCGGATATATATAGCGAAATATATACAATGTGTATACACAAAAGGAAAGGAATGTTAGATGGAATGCTTATATCTCAAGAACGGCTGGACCGATTTTGACAAATTTTGTCAATTCAGTACGCCCTCTTAACAAAAGTATCAAATCTAAAAAAATCGCATAAAAATTAGACAAAAATGATGTTAATATAGATTTTGTAGTATTTTGTGACAATTTTTATTTTTTCATATTTTTTATCGCATGCGGTTTTTTCAATTTGACTTTTAAAATTAAGGTATACATATTTTTCCACCTTACAACACAGGTTTGGGATATTATATACAGATTGCAATTATCGTCCGAACCTCACGAAAAGAGTAGGGTTAGGCTCAGAAGGGCCAGGCCTATTGTTTTCAAAGATGTCCGCAATATATTAAGGGGTTAAAATGGACCAACAACTAAAATGTTCCTGATTTTGCAGCCGTTATAAAGGTCACAAATAGAAATTAATGGACACGAAATCTCGCATGAGGTTAGAGTTTAGGACAGCGGGTAGAATGAACCACTACTTTTGTCTGAAAAATACCAACATTACTTACAGGCGATAGGCGAAATACACAAAATGCGAAATTCTTCATTTTTTTGCTGATTTTCCTTGACGATCATATAGAAGAGTCTAAATTTGGAGATACAGAGTAGCCTCTTGCTTTTGGGGATGATTGCAAAATACGACGGAGTGCGTAAATATTGGGCAAATATTCCTGGTCAAAATGCTAAGGGTAATATCTGGTCAGTGCTCCGTGACATAATTTCAAAAGCGAAATCTTCCAAAATGGATTTGGATATTAGGGGCTGATCGGCCCAGCACGACTATAGCCTTTGCTTACTTGTTTTTGGTATAACTTTTTCCGTTTTAGTTAAAAAAAAACCTTCAAAAATATTATTTTTTGTTGTTTTCTGCAAGTAATAGCTTCAGAATCTTTATAGTAGTTCGTTCCGTACGAATAAAAAAAAAACTCAAAAATTGGGTTCTAAAAATACTTCTCCGTAACAGATGAATTCTTAGTAAAATTGATATGACTCAAATATATAGAGACGGACGTTATAATTGTCATGTAACCTATAACTATATTTATTTTTAAATACTAAAGAAATGTATTCATTCAATTAATAGTTTTTTTCTGAACAGGGAGTTCTTTATATTGAATTTTTGGAGTGGATATAAAACAATGATGAATAAAACCCATTCGGTTTGCTTTTTGTACCAGACCTGATTAGCAGTTTCTCTTTCTCCTTCAGTTTTGCTTGGCATTATTGAATATACAAATAAAAATAAATAATTGAATACAAACCTTTGTTAAAAAAAATAAAATAAAATGTATATCGTTTATATAAAAAATCATTTTTATTTCTTCATAATAAATTATTACAACATAAAGGGTTTTTATGTCAAGACAAAAAAATATTCGTTACAAATAACAAGTCAATCGGCATTAACTTAAAATTACGACAAACAAAATGATACTTAGATTTAATTGGGGTTTTTCCTTACAATGTACGTACATATTTATGTAAGTGTTAGTAATACATATCATTTCAAAAATGCAAAATAACCTAACAAATTCGGATCTAGACTAAATTCGGTCATATGTATCAAAACACATAATATTAAGGCGCACAAAAAAAAATTGAAATCAGACGAAGGTATATATGGGTGCTACATATACATTTTTTAACGACTATCACCAATTTTATTTACCTTTCTTCCCCATTACAATTTAATATTGTAATCAAGTTTTTAATGGTATTGGGGGCTAAGAACTTTTTTAAGGTCTGATTTTGCTGTGCATCTAGAAACAGTATTTTTGTAAGAACTTAGCGTTGGGTCAGTTAGTATTTATCAGGTGTAACTAACCAAAATGCTGAAAATCAATGACCTGCGACATTACCTAAGCACCGAATTTTACACAATTCCGTTAGAAAAAATGAAATTCGGGAGATATAGTCATATGGGGGCTAGACGAAAACTTGTAGCGTCATGTCCAATTTACGAATATAAGCTGACAAAATACACATGTGTGCAAAATTTTAGCTTTCTATCTGAACTCGTTGGAAAAATATCGTCATTACACAAACAGACGATGTTCAGGAATATATATTATTTTTTGGGTCTAACATGAGTATTTCCTTCGATAGTATGGTGGAGAGTATAATAAACAAGAAAAAATATTAAGTTAAATGCAAATATGTGTATTCGAAGTATGGATTCGAACTGAAACTAACAGTGACATCGGATGGATAATACAGTAAAAATTTGCAAATGACAATGAATTGGGTGCAATCGTCATATGGGGGCTATACCAATTTGTGGACCTTAATCAAACATTTTTCGCAACGGGAGAACAGACCTTCCGAGAACCTCAATTGTCAAGTTTCAGCTAATTTGGTTGGAAATTGTGGCAGAATACTTCAAAATACCGAAAATCGGAAAGTAGCGTTATATGGGGGCTATACCAATTAGTGGACCTGTAGTGAATATTTTTTGAAGAGAGAGAACATAACTATTCGAGAACCCCAAATGTAAAGTTTTAACTGATTTTGTTGGAAATTGTTTCAGTAACCTTCAAAATACCGAAAATATGTAGGTACCCTTATATGTGGGCTTTACCTAAATGTGGACCAATATAGCCCATTTTCAATACCAATAAGCCTGCATATAATATAAACATTTGTACCAAATTGTGATTTCAACAGAGGGACAGACAGACGCAACTCGCAAAATCTATAGTATGGTGGAGGGTATAAAAAGGAAGACCAGGTCGAGCTTTTTATATCCTCCACCATTTGGAAAGTAAGGATGGGGGCTATAGAAAAACCTGTATAGGAATTGGTCTGCTACAGTAGTAAAGCCTTTTACAAAAGCCAAGTACCGATTTTTAAGTAAATCCCTTAGAAATGTGGATAAAATCGTCAAAACAACGTATACTGGGTGGTACAATGATATGGGGCATATACGAAAACGTGGACCTGTACGAAACGTGGAGAGGGAAACAGATACCATTGTGAACTCGCTATTCCAGATCTGAAGCTATTGCGTTAGAAACGGTGGCTAAAATCTTAAAAACACCGAATATGAGATGGTAACGTTACATGGGGCTATTGAAATATTCTACCACAGGTGGTAGAACTCGTTTTGTATTTCAAATTATTGTATTAGATAATTTGGCTGAAATTGTCAAAAATGTGAGTATTTGGGATATAATTATATGGGAGCTATACGAAAACGTGGACCTATATAGACAATATTCTGTTACAGGGGTTAGAACCCGTTCCAAATGCCACATTTCAAACTCTTGCATTATAACGTGGAGGTACAGTTGTATGTGGGCTATGCTAAGACGTGGTTCTGCATATGAAATATTAAGGCATAAACTTCGAAAACGAAATTTGAAACAATTCGGGTGAATGATGTCGCTAAAATCATCAAAATCCCGAATAGCGGGAGATAACATTATAAGGGGCTATACGGTACCTCCCGATATTCGGCATTTTGATGATTATAGCGACAATATTCATCGGAATTGTTTCAAATTTGGTATTTGAATTTTGAAATGAATACTACAGCCTATGACAGAAGATTGTCAGTGCAGGCCCATGTCTTTGTATAGTCCCCATATTACGGCAACTCCCGATCTTCGATACTTTGTTGATTTTAGCGACAATATTCATCGGAATTGTTTCAAATTTGGTATTTGAATTTTGAAATGAACACTACAGCCTATGACAGAAGATTGTCAGTGCAGGCCCATGTCTTTGTATAGTCCCCATATTATGGCAACTCCTGATCTTCGATACTTTGTTGATTTTAGCGACAATATTCACCTGAATTCTCTCAAATTTGGTATTTGCTGTTCGTAATGGATGGTACAGCCTATGACAGGAGATTGTCTGTACAGGTCTACGTCTTCGTATAGCCCCCATATAACGTTACCTCCCGATATTCGGTATTTCGATGATTTTAGCGACATTATTCACCGGAATTGTTTTAAATCTGGTATTTAAATTTCGTAATGAATACTACAGCCTAAGACAGGGAATTGTCTGTGCAGGTCCACGTCTTCGTATAGCCCCCATATAACGGTACCTCCCGATATTCAGTATTTTGATGATTATTCACCGATATTTTTTTAGGTTTCGCATTTGAATATTGTAATGGCTTATGACAAAAGTTACCTATGCAGGACCATGTCGTCGTATAGACCCTAATATAACACCTAAATTCAATATTTTTAAGATTTTAACGGTTTTTAGCATTAGCTTCATATAGGGGGTCATATATAGGTCACATTATTAAGGCGAAGTGGCTGTAATCTCACTATTGAAATTTCCTCGCAAGATATCTTCATGATATTTTAAAATTACCTTCTAGTAACCATAATTTTCAAGTTAGGGAACTATAATTAAGTGTTACCATATATTTTGGCAATGATGTAAGCCCCGAATTCCCGTGCTTTTAAGACAACTGATTTTAAAAAACTTCGTGTATTCACATGGTGAAGGGTATACAATTTTCGACCCGGCCGAAATATTGAATCTTTTTGCCACTGAACTCATGTACATTGGTAAATTCCGAACTAACAACAACAACAGCACATTGGTAAATTCCGAACTAGGATATTTCATTTCAACTTGGTAAATTTCTAGGGTTGTGTTTTTTTTTAATTTATGAACAAATTGATAGTTAGCTTATTTTGCATTTATACTAATGATATTTAAAAAGAAATAATTATAGCTGTTAGAACTTAAAATTAATTCGATAAGAAACAGACAGGATCATAGAGAAAGTGCACCATGAAAACAGTTTTGTGGGGATCCAAGGTAGCTGAAATAACGGTGTTTATTATACAAAGTGCTTTGGATACTAAATATGGAGAGGATGTGGTTTGAAAGATAGGCGTAGGTGTGTGTGTGGTGTCATCCAAGCTATGGAAAAAAGTGCTGGAAAATAGAAGAAGACGTTTTGTGACAACACTCGTTGATGGATGGATGGACTGATTGGTGTCTCAGAAGAAACGTGCCGAGGACGATGATGCCAGAGGTGATGTAGAATGTTGTTGTTGGGAAACATAATTATTTATGCCATGATTAAGAGCTAAAATTTTATTGATTATTTTAAATTCTTCTAAATTATTTAAATCGGGACTTAAGCTATGTACAATATTACCTGTTGCTGAAGACTGCTGCTGCTGCTGCTGTTGTTGTTGTTGTTGATAGTACTGCTGGGCATTCTGTTGCAATTGATTGCTGATGTCAGGACTCAAGTGTTGACGATAAAAATTCTGTGTATCATAATTTTGTTGCTGTTGTTGATGATGTTGTTGCTGCTGCTGCTGCTGATTGAAGTGGGAGAAAATATTGTTGGGATTGGTTTGCACCTGATTTATGCCAAAGTTTCCGGTATGCCCTTCTTGACGGAAAAATCTTGCTCTATGCTGTTGCTGGGCTGATTGTTGTTCTTGTTGCTGTTGTTGTTGTGGCTGTTGTTGATAACGCTCCAGTATGGCATTGCTGACATATTGCGGTATGAGGGGAGTGTTCTGTTTATTGAATGGTTGAAAGTTTCTCTGTGGCAATGCCTGTACCAGTGACAATTCTGCTGGGGGTTCCGGCAAGGCAGGAGAAAATGTTGGTACAATACTCAATTGATTGGAGGGTTGGATTTGTATACTGGATATGCTGGAAATACCTTGACTCGATTGTTGTTGCTGCTGTTGTTGTGCAGTTTGTATTTTTTGTTGTAAGTTGTGGAATATTTGCTGTATTGGGTTATTGGCAGCTGGTAATTGCTGTGGCTGCTGTTGTTGCAGCGTTTGTGCTGATGGAGGTGTCAACAGATTATTGGGGGAGAATTGATAATTCTTATTGGCGATGAATTTCCCATTGGACTCCCTCAACGGTAACTGTTGATCCTGGGGAAATGTCGGAAACAAAGGTGACATTTTGGTCTGCGTGCTTGGTATAAATTCTATGGAAGGGCGAATTGTAAAGCTTGATTCGTGCTGAACTGTTGGAGCCACCGCCTGTTGCGTTTGACCGTTGGAGGGTGTCTGAAGAGCAACATTGTTGGTTGATTGACCTCTTTGCCTTGTTTGTTCCTCCAGTAATTTCAATTGCCTCAATATTAAGTCCTGTTGTTGTTGTGCTTGTATTTTCAACTGCAAGATTTGCTGTTCCAATTCACGTTGTTTTTCCAATAAATAATCGTTGGGGCTATTGAGTGGATGTTGTTGTTGTTGTTGTTGCTGCAGCTGCTGTAGTTGTTGGTTGACATTTGAGGTCAATGGCTGTTTCTGCAGGGCACAAAAGCAAAAGGGAAAGTTAAAAAGTGTGTAAATAAAGCGAGGCAAGGTTATAGATGGGGAAATGTAGCAATATTGAGTCAGATAAAATCGATAAATATTCTTTAAAGCTTTTATCAGGGAATGAAGGCTACGATGACATTATTATTTCATTTGACAATGAATGGTTTAACACAAATATTTCAGACACATGTTTTCCTTTCCAGTTCATGGGAAAACATAAAACTTATTGGTGATTAGTGTTTGTGCACAAATATTGATTTTTTCTGCCTTGAAGACTTAAAGTTCATATTTATCGTACCCCAAATGTTCATTAAAAGTTTATTTTATTCTCATAAAACCAGAAATATATGAAAAGCCGTTGAGAGTGTAATAACATAATTCAAAATAAGAGCCGATAAAAAATTTGTAAAAATTTACCTGACAACCTCTGTGTATTGGTTTCCTTTTAGGCATTGCCACCATATATCGGCGCCTGCAGATTTTAAGTATTTTCATGCTTTTAGAAACATTTTCCAATAAAATTAGTTTACAGGGTTTCAAGATTTTGTGAGATATAAATGTACAGCTTGTAAAGGTGTAGCTAAAATCATCCAAATAACGAATATAGATAAGTACCGTTATATGGGGGCTATACGAAGGCGTGGACCTGCACAGACAATTTTCTGTCATAAACTGTAGTATCCATTATGAACTTCAAATACCAAATTTGAAACGATTCCGGTAAATAATGTCGCTAAAATCATCAAAATACCGAATATCCGGGAGGTACAGTTATATGGGGGCAATACGAAGATGAGTACCTACATGGCCCATTTTCAATACCAAAAGTCCTGCAGACATAATACACATTTGAGTAAATTTTCATCAACTTACTTCATTTCCTTCGGAAGCTAGAGTGATTTCCACAGACGGGCAGATGGGCGGACATCGCTAAATCGACATAGAATTTTATGCTGATCAAGAATATATATACTTTGTGAGGTCTAGAATGTATATTTCGAGGAGTTACAAACGGAATGACAAACTTAATATACCCTCCGTACAATGGTGGAGGGTATAAAAAGTACTAATTTGTAATAAATTTTGCCGTCGAGTGATAACACTATAGCTCAACAGTGGTACGTCGATCGCTTATCGATAGCTATTCAATAAAAATGATAAATAAATGATTTTTTTTTGTGCAGAAAATGTTGAGTTCCTACACTTCACTGGCAAATACAACAAGTAAGCAAAGGCTATAGTCGTGCGGGGCCGACCATGTGATACCCTACAACACTAAAATATATTAGAAGCCCCCTTATGTCCAAATCTATTTTGGAAGATTTCGCTTTTGAAATTATGTCATAGAACATTGCCAACATCTTACCCTTAGCTTTTTGACCAGGGACATATGCCTAATATTTCCGCACTCCGTCGTGTTGTTAGTTGTTGTGCTCAATTTACAGCTAAATATATTTTAATTGTCATCTAAAATGCTAGACTTCTTCCCTGTCCTTAACTCTCGGCTCAGGTGTGTCGATTGGCTTCAATTGTGTGATCAGGAATATTTTTCTGTTTTTGGTTCATTTGGTATTTTTTCACACAAAAGTAGTGGTCCATTCTACCCGCTGTCCTAAACTCTATCTTCATGCGAGATTTAGTGTCCTTTGGTTTCTACTTCGGCTGCAAAATCAGGAACATTTTCAGTTGTTGGTTCATTTCAACCCCTAAATGTATTGCGGACATCTTTGAAAACAATAGGCTTAGCCCTTCTGAGCCTAACTCTACCTTTGTGAAAAATTTCATGGGGATCCAACGATAATTGCAATCTGTATATAAATAATAACCCCAACCTGTGTTATAAAGTGAAAAAATATTACAAACAAGTAAGCAAAGGCTACAGTCGAGCGGAGCCGACCGTTGAATACCCTACAACACTATAATAAACGATACAGTTTATATAGGCAAGATACTCGAAAGAATTCCACAAGATATTGTGACAAATAATAAAAGAAAACCATCAGGTTTCGTTCTCTAATTTTCGAATAATAGCAACTTAAACTAATTTGCTCATTTCCAATTTATTGGTAGATGTTGCACTTAAATGGTCTTCCTAGATCTGGAACCAATATTTCCCAAAGACCTATAATCTCTCAGAAGTGGCAAAAGATTAACATTTATTATTGGTTTTTGACTGAAACGCATCTATATGAGATACAGACATTTGACTATATTCTTCCACGAAATCAGCGTTAACGAAATAGTCAGAAGTGCGTCTTTCCTGTATTTGTGAATTCTCCAAAAAGTCACTGGAATGGACATTTTCGTATTTTGTCTACAAAAGTTGGCAAACTCCTTCACACATTGAATATTTTTGGATGGCCATCCAAAACTGCTTGGCTTTTGCAATGTCCGGTAACCCCCATAATTACGACCTGCCGACAATTTTGCAGTTTTTTGGTCCATTTCAACCCCTAAATATATGGCGATCATCTTCAAAAAGAATAGGCCCTCATCTTATCTCCATGCAAAATTTCGTAAGGATCGGGCCATAAATGCGATCTGTATATGATATCCTGATATTCTAACTACTTAGTTTTGTTAGCTGTAGAAATATTACCAAATGTTCAAATCAAAATGAAAATATGCCAAAAATATGACAAAATTGAAAAAATATGAGAAAATTTTACAAAATCAATATTTTCATCTTTAGAGAGATATTTTTATGCGATTTTTTTCGACGTTTTATGTTTCCTGCCAAGAGGTCATTCTGAATTAATGAGAACTGTCGAAATCAGTTCAGCCGTTCTCGACATATAAGAGATTTTTCAAGCATATCTTCTTTGGTAAACATATATATCGCACATATTTTGCTATATATCCGTTTTGTTGGATGTTAACATCAATAAAAAGATCAGAAGTAACCTTGTCATGGCTTTGTGATTTCGCCGGGATTGAAAATATTCGCGGTTTAATGAAAAATTTTGAATTTTTTCAACAAAAAAGATATTGTCTATTTTACCCGCTAAATATTATCCGATGACCACCCAAATAGGTAGGCTTCTTGCCAGCCCTAAACTCTAGCTAAATGCGAAATTCCGCGTCGATTGGTCTATAATTGCGACCTGTAGAGCAAGTGCAAAATCAGGATTTTTTCAGTTTTTGGTCCATTTCAACCCCTAAATATTATGCGATCATCACCAAAAGAAATAGGGTTCTATTCTGACCATAGCCCCACCTCCATTTTAAATTTCGTGAAGATCGGACCATAATTGCGACCTGTAGAGTGATTACAAATTAACATGGACAGACGGACGGACGGACATACATAGCTAGATCGACTCAGCTCGTCGAGATAGGAAGATCCATATATACTTTCCTATGTGGGAAATCAATATTTCGTAGTGTTACATAATTTTTGGGCCAATCAAACTTATAATACCCCCAACACATAGTGTTGTAGGGTATAAATATACACTTCAATATTATAAGTCAAATTGAAAAAATCGCATGCGATAAAAAAATGAGAAAATAAAAAAAATCACAAAATACTACAAAATCTATATGATCATCATTATTGGCATATTTTTATGCAATTTTTTTAGATTTTATACTTTTATGCCAAAAGGGCATTCTAAATTGACAAAATTGGTAAAAATCGCTCCAGCCATTCTGGAGATACATTCTAATTAACATCCCCTTCCTTTGTATATATACATTGTATATATTTCGCTATATATATCCGATATTTTTACTATCGGCATCTACGTAACGGTCAGAATTGACCTGTTCGTCTATTTGTGATTTCGCCGGCATTAAAAATATTCGGGGTTTAATGGAAATTTTGACTTTTATTTATCAAAATGCTATGGTCTATTTCAACCACTAAATATTACCCGATGACCATCAAAAATGGAAGGCTTCTGCCCAGCCCAAAGCTCTAGCCCCATGCATGCCCCATGTGTATTGTAATCACGCTATCTTTGGAACGAATTGAGATAGAAGGCTAATATTTTATGTGTGTATTTCGCTAGTAGGCAGGTTAAGTTAGTAAATGGGCCATGTCGGTCCACGTTTTCGTATAGCCCCTATATAACTACACCTTCCGATGTTCGGTATTTTGATAGTTTTAGCGACATTATTCACCGGAATCGTTTCAAATTTCATATTTAAAGTTTGTAACCTATGATGGAAAATTTTCTATGATCCATGTCTTCGTATATATGTCGTAATGGTACCTCCTAATGTTCGCTATTTCTACAGGAATTATTTTTTTTTTGAATTGGCGTTCGAGTATTTGCTTAACATCTTTACAAAGAACTATCCATAAGGTCCAAGTTGTGGTATAGACCCCATATCCACATTTAAAGCAACATGGTACCATATAAGAGTACCAGCTCATATTTGGATTTCTGATGATATAAGCTAAGTTTGTCAATGAAGTTGTTAGGAAGTTCCTAACACTTGAATACTATATATCCAAACTTGTAGACATATTTTCAAAAGTGTTACTAAAAGGTAGGTCCAGTCGAACTAAACTGCTTGTTCCCATAAAAGTAGTGAATACTATTTAATGTAGTATTTAATAATCATTGTTTCTTACCGTTATGTAATGACCCGATGTTGGTAGAGCATTTGCAAATATATTTCCCGCCGTTGTTGAAGTTGTACTATAGGTTGGTTGTGTGGGTGGGGGATTGGGAAGGAAAATATTGTTATTATTGGATTTAGGTAATTCCGTTTTCAAAACATTCAATTTTGTAATAGTAGGGCCAAAACTCAAAGGTGATTGAGGCAATGTGGCCGTTGTTGATTGTATAGCATCAATGATGGGAACAACTTGTTTAGGAGCACCCAGCTCATCTACGTTAACAGTAAATGCGGTGACCAAAGGAGCAGCTTGTATCCGTATATCGTTCTTATCGACTACCTCAATATTTTCACCATCTTCGTTGTGGGTTGGTCGGGGTGTGGTTGTAGTTGTTGTGGTCGTTGTTGTTGTCGTACGCCTTGTAGTGGTTCTGGGACGTGGTGTTGTGGTCGTCGTCGTTGTTGTGGTGGTGGTGGTGCTTGTACTGCTGGCCCTTTGACTTAATTTCGAATTGCGTATTTCAAATTTAATTTCATCCAAACTGTTTGAGGAAATTTCATTACTTTGCAGACTACTGCCAACACTGCGGGCTGTTTGATGATTGTCGTTGGAGTCGGATGCTGCATTAAAGGTCACTATGACCGGTGATCCGAAATTATGTTTTTGTGATTTTCTTAGGGATTTGGTGCTATTAATGAATGCCGCCAATGGCTGTTCCTGTGCATTCTTTTCGTCATAGGTTGCCGTAAAGAATTGCACTGATGGCAGAATGCCATCACTGCGAGCGGTACTTTCTTCTAGAATTTCATCTTTGGTTTGTGTTACCACTGGTAATGCTGTTGTGCTGGACGGAACATGGACTTCCTCTTGGTCGGGCTGCTGCTGCTGCAGATTGTCATCTTCTGTCTGTTCTCCGCCGTCTTCTTCCCCTTCTTCATCATCATCTGCTTGAGCTTCTTGTTCGAGTTTATCTATGGCACGTAGTAGAGCTTGTCTTACAGATATATCTAATTTTTGTATGGCCTCGCGTGGTATGATCTCATTGGTTTCAGTTGAGCTCTCCTCATCTGCCAAAATGTTTGGTGAACCCAACAAACACAATAGAAGGCAGGTAATAAGTGTCTGCAAAAAAAAAAAAAAAAAAGCGAGGAGAGAAAAAAAGTATAAGTTATCGGATTTTCAAAGATTAACGGAAATGTTTACAATAAGTGTACAAAATGTACTATTTTTTCTTCATCTTATGACAAAAGTTATCTATGCAGGCCCGTCGTCGGGTAGACCCCAATATAACGAATTTTATTGTTTTTGAGAATTGACGAATTCGTTCCAAATATTGGATATTCAAAGATCGACCCGGCCCAACTAACAGCCTTTGTACTTGTTTTCTTGTAAGTATGTGCATGTTTGTACTTGCACTGGATTGTGTTGTTGGTACTGTTTTTATGTTCCTGGCTTTTTGTTACTGGTCCACAGCAACATCAAAACTTGTTTGCTACTACACATACGTACCCACAAATCGGCAAACAGATTATTTTGTTCACTCTATTCAACTTTCATCCACTCCACATCCACTCTTAGTTTTCAAATAGAACTAATCGCGTGCGCTTCTACACCAAAACAAATGAATGGAGAGTAGACCTCGAAATCTTCGAGCACTTCCTCTCGCGACTATTTTTCGCTCACGAGTAAAAACGGCTCAACACACATAAAGAGCCTAGCCAAACTTCTCTTTGCATCTTTTTTTGAGTGGGGAATAAAAAATGCCAACTCTTCCCAACATGTTCCCTGTGTAAACGTTATCCCCTTGAAAATTATTTAATCTCCCTTTCAGGTTGATACATCACGAAGACAATGCTCCAGTAATCTTTTAGAGTTCATTAAATTTTAGCAATTACCTCGAATTATATCGCCTTAGTCATACCGTTTTACAAACATTTCTATGCATGCTTACATCTTTGTTTTCAGCCATCCATACCATGTTCACGAACACACATATGTATGCATGTACGTATGTAGATACACGAATGTATGAAGGCGTTATAAAAATGATTAAATACACATTTCATGATTACCACACCTTCAATTACGGGTGAGGGTGAAATTCATACATAATAATTTTTTGTATTTCTTTCTGATGGATATGAAATATTACGTAAAATAATAATGGCAATTCATAACAGGTGAAAAGATCGAATATTTTTGTAAGGTTTTTTAAAATATCTTATTGTTTCTTAACTGTTTCTCATTTACTTTTTCTTCCTACTTTCTTATAATGTTTTATTGTCTGATACTATGTAGGGAATACTCAAGTAATTTTCGTTTAATATAAAAAAATACTAACTGAACCCGGCGCGTTTTTACCCCTTATGATTTTGTATGCATTTAAAAATTTTATTTTTATTATGTTTTATAGGTTTTGAAAAAATAAACAAATTCAAGAATATAACAAGCAAAAAAAGCTGTAAGCTCGACCGGGCCGAACTTTGAATACCCTCCACCATTTGGAACGAATTTGGCAATTCTCAAAACAATAAAATCCATTAAAAATTCTTAAAATCTTAAAAATACCGAATGTAGCTGTAACATTAGGGTCTAAAAAGAATTGTCTACGCAGTTCGGAATTGGCGCTAGAGCTTATGAAAAAGAATATAAGGGGTCTCATTTTTCTCCGGATTTTTTTTGAATTTTCTCAAGTTCCTTCAAAATGGTTGAGGGTATTAAAAGTTCGGGCCGGGCGAACTTAGCTTCTTTTTTACTTTTTGTTTTTCCTTCAGGATCGTAATAAAAAAAAGAAATCGGTCGGTTTGCCAACACGTGAACATGCCAGGTTCAGCTGACCATGAGAAAATCAACACTGATACACTTTGCAAATTTTATTGAAATTGGAGATACATAGCGTGTTTGATGCATCAAATAAACGATATCGGTCGAAAATATGTATCGAAACAATACTCATATTTCTTTTTATTTTGGTAAATTTATTTTTGTACCAAATATGGTCATTCATTCCGAATTTCATTGGAATTGGATATACATATGGTGTTTGGTGCATCAAATATGTGAAATCGGCTGAAAACTATATAGGAGCTAAATCCAAATCTTAACCGATTTCAATATGATTTGGGAAATGTATTTTTGTACCGATTTCTATTACACATTCTATATTTGTAGGCTGTATCTATAACCGTTAAAGTCCCTCACATGATTTATATGCACTCCACAACAATGATATTTGATACCGGACATCAGATACAACACGAGAATACCTCTGTCAAGTTTTATCAAGATCTGTTCAGATTTTTTATAGCTTCGATTCAAAACTTCATCCGATTTTACTGTTATTGTTTATCATATATGTAATATCAGCCCACATTGGATAGATTTATATATATCATATCATATTAAACCTATTTTTTCCATTTGGTGAAAGAAAACTGTGTTATTTATCGAATAGAACTTCATGTTGAAAATGCAAAATGTCTTGTGCATGTAGTTAATTTGGTATTTATTTAGAGATATTAAGCTTCTTGTACAACTTTAGAAAGTCAAGTTTTTACCTTGAACTCCTCCAATCAACGTCAACTTCAATATTAATATCCCTTACTTTCTCTACTGAGCCAAGTAAGTGCCAAAAAACGTTGAAAATATAACAAGCATTTTTCGTCAGAATCCCATCATGGATAATGAACGCTGTGAGCAGCTAACATTATTATTTAGATATTTCAATTTTTAACTGATTGTTTGTTTTTGTTTTCTAATACTAAATACATAGGTATGTAGGTGGGAAATACCACGCTGTGTATTTTCACAGTTATACATACAGATGTGAATTTGATTTTCTGGATAACATTTAATTCTTGGAAAAGGATTTCAATTGTTATACCACAAGAGTTATTTTAGCATATTGTCAATATAAATAAATATTTCCATAAATATGTACATAAATATCGATGAAATAACGATCAAAATATTGTGTAAATGCATTTAAGTGGTTTAAACCAAACATAAATATGGAAGATTTGAAAAATTGGTTTAAAAAAGGAAATATGAACAAAAATTGTGAGAAATATAAGAACAACCATTTAAATGGTAATGTAAACTGATTACGATCTGCATTACGAAAAGGTTTGGAATAATGAGTAATTTGCTGAAAAAATACAAAGATAAATAACTCACTTTTCTCATTACCCAGTCATGGCACACGAATGCAAAATTGGAGGTTATTAGTGTCAGTGTACATTACCTATACATTACCAGTATTACTCTGATTGATACTGAATTACCAATCAGAAGATCACCAGTTTAATCCCTCCATCACGTAAACATTAAAACATTTTCTGCTACAGCAGTAGCTATTATGGGGAAAGGCTCTAAGAGACCCACTCTACCATCCTCCATTTATATGCCATATGAGGAGCCTGTCATCGGTTGCGACGCCAACGCCCACCACTTTTACTGGGGCAGTAAGGACACCATTTCCAGAGGTGTATCAATATTTGATTTTATACTTAAGTACAATCTTCGAATATGTAAAAGAGGGTCAACATTAACTTCTAAGACAGGAACAGAGAAGAGGCCATTGAAATCACTCTCATAATCATGGACGAATACCCGATAAGGAATGTTATGGACTGGGACAAAAACGTTGCGGAACGGATGAAGGAAGGCTTCACGTACTCTACTCTTAAAAGAATTCAGTAGGTAAGATCTAGGGTCTCTCTCCCCCTAACATACATTGGATTTATAAAGCTGTGATGTGGCACACCTTTTCTTATAGAGGTCTTGTCTTGTTTAACGCATTAAAATTAAAAGGAAGCAGCTCGAAACTCCCAAGCGTACAGATAGCAGCTTCATTTCTAATCACAGACGCATCAAAATGTTAAGCCATCAACCTCTCATTGATCTGCTGGTATATACTGACGGATCCAAGATGGAAGAAGCTACGGGGCCGCAGTCTTCTATGAGCAAATATAAATGCCGTACTCTCATAAGTTGGATTGAAGTAGCATTTTTTTAAAGCAGAGATCATTGTGATCATGAAAGCGCCAGAATTAATAAAACCTGAAAACCTGGAGAATGAAATTACTGAATCTGTGAATATTTATGTAGATAGTCAAGCAGCTCTACAAACAATTGCATCTTTCAAAATCAATTCTTATGCAGTTCTGAGGTGTAGAACAGACCTGGGAAATATGAACACAACTATTCGGCTTTGATGGGAACCTAGTCATTGTAATATTGAAGTAAATCAGAAAGCCGAATTGGCAAGGATGGGCTCACAGAGATTGAAGTCGCCGACATGTTAAAACCACAGACAAATGAAAAAAGACGAAGGAATGCTCTAACCGCTAATCATTGGATCAGCAGATGTCGCCTATACCGTTTCAGGGGTACGAGTGAAAATATTGAAGTTACTCAATTCTAAAATATTTAAAATATCATGTATATGATATTTGTCAGTTGAAAATTGTTCCACAACCAGTAAGGAAAAATCAAAAATCGGTCGGGGCCAACTATATGATATCCTACACCACTATGCATATTTAATAGAGTAACAAAGGAATTTATTTTAAGTAGATCATACCACCTATCAACATTTAGCTTTAGAGTACTTATAGTTTGGTTTCAGAGAGAACTAATATATAAGGGGCATATCCAATTCTGAATCGATTTTCACTAAAATTTAATGGAGACATTTTAATCTATTATACCAAATTGCTATAGCGTGTATGATGTCATTTCAAGAAGGATTATATTAAAAAATATATACCGGAGCCGAGTTTCACAATATGGAAATGTAGGTCCCGAAATTCACTCCATTTGGGCTGATATTAGCCATTATTTGCACAATAAATCTGAAATGGGAATAAGGATATGTATGGGAGCTACATCCAAATCTTAGCCGCTATCGATAAAATTTGACAAAGGTATTTCTGAGCTTTATAAGATATCTGGTACCAAATGTCTTTGTACTCGAATGCATATTACGAATATGAGGGACTTAAACAACATATCGGATGAAACATATATATGGGAGCTATACCTGAACCGATTATCTCCGAATGTACCAAAATTCAGGTCACTAGGTCTTATTGGGTGCTATATCTAAATCTGATCAGATT